GAACCTGAGGCGCAGTTGTGGGTCAGCTGCGGGGTCATATGTGGAGTGTTTGTGACTTTACAGAACCGGCCAGGCCTCCTGCAGAGAGGCTCAACCGTCCCACGTTCACAGGCTGTGCCTGTGCCCGTTCCTCCCTGGCCCTTGGTGATGCTGATGTACTTGGTCCAGCCGTTCTGGCGGCCGTGGGTGGCTGCTCGCGGGGGTCAACTTGTATTCCCGCCTGGCCGACAACACGCAGCATCTTTTCAGTGCCAAGCTCCATCTGTGACTCTGTCTCTCTCATGAATCTGGGCTGTTTTCTTCTGTTCCGTGTTGAGAGCTCTTTACAGTTTTGGATGCAGGTCCTCATCAGATGTGGGCTCTGCTGACATTCTCCCCCAGCCTGTGGTTATCTTGTCTTACCTTCTTTTGCAGAATGGAGGTGTTCCACTTTGGTGGGGTCCACGGTATCAGTTACTTCTGTTATCCCAAGAGTGTTTCTTCTGAAAGGTTCTTGTTTGGTGTTGGGTGTGAGATCCACTTTTGTGCCTTCTGTGCTGGTTCGAGGTCCAGCAGCTTTGGTTTGGTTGTTTGCTCATGGCTGGCCAGTTGCTCAGCACCGATTGTTGAGGGGTCTGTCACTACCACAACTGAGTGACTTGTGCCCCTGGGTGGAAACCCAGCTAAGTACCCCATGGAGTCTACTTGAGGGCCTCTGTTCTGTGCCGTGGAGTCGCGTGTCTGTCCTTGCACCAGCACCGCGTGGCCTTGATTACTATCGCTGCACAGGGAGTCTTAAAACCAGAGTGTGAGTCAGCGCTTTCCCATCAATTTGGGTTTATGTTGTCTATTTCTCTATAATTAAGAACTAGGGCTTCATTTTCCTATTCTGCATCTTCAGGGATGGTATATACTCTGTGGGGCCAGGCTTGCTTCCTCCTCCCTCCCCTGCCCCAGGGTTCTCAGGACCTTTATCAGGGTGGCCAGCACTGATGGCAGCCAGGACAGCAGCCAGGATTTCTTGGTGGGGGCTCCTGGGATGGGGGCTGCCCGTGCTGCCTGTCCTTGGGTCCCCAAGGATGTCTCATGCATGGGAGGCTGGAACTGGACCAGTCTGGGGCCTCCTGCTGGGCAGAGTCCATGCATTGGCCTGGTGCGCTGGACTGCAGAGGGCCTGTGGGGGGCCAGGGCTCCCGTCCACCTGCACCCCTCATTCTTCCATTCGTCCTTTTTTCTGGAGCTAGAGATTGAACCTGGAGCCTCACGTGGGCTAAGCACATGCTCTACCACAGAGCAACACCCAGGCCCCTCTTTTCCTCCTTTTTAAAGTGTTTCTATTGTGCTAAGGTGCGCAGACTGTCAGGCGGACTGCGACAGTCGTCTTACGTGCACTGCGGCATCGAGCACGTCCTCAGGGCTGTGCAGCCATCGCCCCTCAGTCCACAGCACACCCGTCCCCATTGCACAGACCCCCACCCTGCCCCCACACCCACCTGTCTCCAGGAGTCAGGTGACTCTGGGACCCACACAGGTGCAGTCCCATAGGCTTTGTCCTTGGGTGTCAGATGACGCCCCTCAGCTCCAGTCCCCAGTGTTCCTTTCCTTCACCGTACGTTGGGTCCCTGTGGTGCCAGTCACTCAGGTGGGAGCTGTGGGGCCTTGGAGGCTTGACGGGGCCCCTTGATCCCGAGTCAGGAGCCAGAGGAGCCCCCATGTGTTGGTGTAGCCACATACCCAGGGGGAGGGTTCACCCACCCTCCCGGCTGGCGCCCCGTCTGCCCAGCTGAGCTGCTGCTCCAGGTCTCTCCCTTGTGACCGCTGTGTGGAGGGCACTCGATGGCCTCTCTGTACACACAGCTGGTGGCCCCTCCTTGCAGTGCAGTCCTGGAGACCACAGTTTGGTCCACAGGCCCTTGATGGTGAAGGCAGCAGCTCCTCTTGGGGACCCCACTAGTCCTGGGGGCCTCCTGGTACCTGAGACCCAGGTGCAGAGACCTGGTGTGACCTGTAGGGTCCCTGCCCTGCTCACGGCCCACCCAGGTCCTCCTGTGGGGTTGTAGGGACAAGCTGCCCACTCTCCTCTGAACACGTCTCCAGTGCTCCTTTAACACCCTGCGAGCAGTTCAGCTCTCCAGGCTCCAGGTGGTGACTGCAGCCCCTCAGGTTGGTGATCGGAGGCCTGGGGAAGGGGTGGGGTGCAGAAGAAGTTCAGACACCTTTGCAGATGAGCTGCAACTCAGTTCAGGGTATTTTTAGCCACGGCAGCATCCGACACTCGGCAAAGCAGAAATAGAAGCGGTTTTTCGGGTGTTCTGGTGCTGACAGGCTCTGGCTCTTGGGGAGCTGGGCTGGGGCTGGGGAGGGGCATGCGAGCTGAGCACAAACAACTGCTGCTGTTGAGAAAAACATCTCGAGGCAGGGGAGTTGTGGATGGGAGCGCTCTATGTAAATGCCACCGCGCAGCTTGGCCGGCTCCTCTGCATGTGTAATCACTGCGGGCTGAGGCGGGCGGGGGGCGGGTAATTATGTTTTAAAATATCACCCAGATTGTTTTCTGTATTCCCTGAGCCCCCCAGGGGGTTCCAGGCTGTAAGGGTTTTCCGATGCTCCACTGGGTGGAGCGTGCCATCTGACCCTGCTGACCCTGCTGACCCTCCAGCGGCAGGAGGGACTCTGGGTCTACCCCTGCAGCTGGCCACCTTCCTGGCTTCTGTGCTTACTTGGGGTGTCTTTTACCTTTGGGAGATCTCCCCTTCTCCCTGGAGTTCAGCCACAGTCAGACTTAAGGTCTCAGCATGCTCATTCTGAGCTTGGGTGGTAGCCACTCCAGAGGGGTCTGAAGCCATGCAGGAGCAGGTGGAGGCCCCGGGGAGCTGAGAGTCGCATTGGGTGATTGCAGACCCTGGACGTGGACGCTAAGCTGCAAGTGGTCTTGACACCCCACCCACTCCCGCCAGACCCTCGGGACTAGAGCCCATCCCGCAGTCTCCCGCAGCTGCTCCCTGTGGTTTTGGGGTGGATGGTGTCACCCTGTTACCCAGGTGTTGGCCCTCAGAGACTGGGTAGCCCTGACTCCTCCCCGTCAGAAGCTTGATGGGACCGTGACTTACAGCTAATTCCTACTGGGGTCCCCCGCTACGCACCCTCGTGGAGCCCTCCACAGCTGCCCCTGCTGAGGTGTTGTCCTGGGGCCCCAGGAGGCGGGTTGTGGTGCGGGGATAGGTGCTGGCTCTGCTGGAGTGACCTGCTCTGATTGTCCTGAGCAGCCTCAGGGCAGGTCCAAGTCTCACCACCTGCCTTCGCCCCCAGGACTCTTGAGTCTCAGGGCCAGCGGGTTCTCGGTGTTAAGTACCAGATCCTAGAAGCCTCTCCTCCACGGTGGCTTCCGGCTCTACTGAGGGTGACAAGGGAACTGCCACCCTCACTGAGCAAGGACCGTCTCAGTGGCAGGGCCTTTGCCTACCCACAGACCTCCATGGGTCTGGGAGGGATGGACCTGGGCCTTCACCTGGGGCCTTACTGCCCAGCCAGGCGTGAGGAGCCTGCCCAGAACAGGACCTCTGACCAGGGTCAGGTGGCTCTCTCAAGACCACCTTCTGTGCTGGGGACATCGGGATGAGTGAGGTGGCGTCCTGTATGAGCAGGTTGCTATGTGTGTGGCCTGCCAGGTCTCTGAGTCAGGAACACAAGCCTGGTGACCATGGTGGCCTGTGGGAACACAGGCTGGTTCTACTGGAGCCCTGCTGACCTGCTACTGGCCCTGGGGGTCAGGGCAGGGGCCGTGGCAAGGCTCCATGGGACGAGGGGCAGCAGGGACATTCAGGGGTGTGTTGGCAGCACTGGGCAGGATTTTGGGGTGGTGAGGCTGCATCCTTGGCTTTCAGCACTCGGAGTACCCAGCAAACGGTAGGTAGATGCAGGGTCTTGGTCCAGCCCACGGTGAACCCTGGAGAGGACCCTGCACCCCAGTGGTGGTGTCCTGCTGGAGAACCTGGCAGGCCAGCTGGTCAGGAGGCCTGGGGAGGGCTGGACACCTGTGCTCAGGGCAGAGCTGATGCTTTTGGCTGGCATCCTGCTTTCTGGGGATGGTGTAGGCACATTCAAGGGGCCCTGGGTACCTGGGAGCAACATTGGGTGATTCCAGACCCTGAAGGAGGTGGGGATGGAGAGGTGTTCAGAATGGAGCAACCTCCTCGGTTTACCCATGAAGTCCCAAATGTCCTCCTCTGGGCAGTGCCGTGGGCGCACACTGCAGAGCTGCAGGCCCTAGGTGGCCCCGGGGCCCTGGCTGCCCATCCCGGCAGTGGTCCTGTCAGGAACGTTCCCAGGCAGCAGGAGACTGGAGTTGCCCGCGGTGACACCGCATCTGCCTGACCAGCCCCTTGTGCTGACGTGATTTGAGAGGCCATGTCCTCCTCACGTACGCCAAGTCCCCTGGTCCCCTCACCCATGAAACAGGGCTGCTTGTGCCCCGCTGCCTCTTCCAGGGAGCTGGTCGGGGAGACCCTGGGGTCTGCCGCTGCTTGGCACCTGGTTGCAGCTCTGGCCTCTCCCTCCGCCAGCGCTCCTCAGGCAGAGCTGGGCACTGCCCCCTGGCTCAGAGGTGGAGGCCCTTCTGCTGCCCCATCTCTAGCCATGGTGCCTCTGGAGGTGCTATCTTGCCTCCTGCTTCCGGCTCAGGCTCCTCTCTGGCCTCCTGCTTAGCATAAGCCCTCATTCCCACCTGGCCTGCAGCCCCTGCAGGGGGACACCCCTTGGGAGCTGCCTCCAGCCCTCAGTGTCCTGGTCCTGGTGGGTGTCCCTCTGCTCATTCGCTCAGGCTTCCTGCAGGGCAGGCCTGAGCCAGCAGAACCTGCTGCCATCAGCAGGCCTGGAGGACGGCTGGAGTGGGTCTGGCTTGGCACAGGCTGGCACAGAGCAGGTCCAATCCCAGCATCAGGGGACATGGTGGGCGGTGCAGGGCAGCCTAGCCTAGCTTGGCCAGCAGACAGCCACCTGAGCAGGTGATTTCTGTGCTGCAGTGCAAGAGAAGCCAGAGCCAGTGCCACTGGAGAGCCGCTCCTGCGTCCTCATCCGCCGTGACCTTGTGGCGCTGCCCGCCAGCCTCATCAGCCAGATTGGGTACCGCTGCCACCCCAAGCTGTACTCGGAGGGCGACCCTGGGGAGAAGCTGGAGCTGGTGGCAGGTGAGGATGCTCCACCCTGTCTATTGTATGCAAATGTCCTCTCTCCCTTTATGTTTTTCAGAACTATGAACAATGTACTCATCACCAATCAGTCAAAGGAAAAAAAAAGAACATCTTAAATTTCCTCTAATTTCCTTTTAGAAGAATGTGTCATTAAGAGGAGTTATTCAATTGAATTAATTTAGCATTTTAATTGAATCCCCTGGGCTGGCCGCCTTGCTGATTGGCAGGGCTGCATTCATGGTGTTAATGTAGGTCACAGATTGAACCAAGTCCCAGAGTTACCACTGTCCTTCTCATGTGAGTGCCCACTGCCAGCCTGAGAGGGTGGTGACCAGAGGTTCCGGGTGGCAGCTCTCAGTGCAGGCTGGAATTCTGCAGGAACAGGGAACACAGTGGGGTCGAAAGCCCATGTGGGCTGCAGGCCTCGCCAGAGCCTGGACTTTCCAGCGCTGGGATTCCTCTGGCCTCCCAGCCCCTTGTAGGATTTTAGGGCTACTCAGCAAAGGGGTATAAAGTCATGGCACTGTCAGTACCTCGGGCCCTTCAGCCATTTTTTGGTCATTTCTTTTCTTGGTTTGCCCATGAAGTCCCAAATGCAGGCTGGATGGGGTCCCGAGGTGCCCTCCCCCAGCCCCAGCACCAAGCTGTCCCCCTCCCCCACGGCCTGGTCTGCCTCTGTCTGGCTCCCAGTCACCACCTGTGCTCCGGGTTCTGCCCAGTGGTCACTTGTCTGGGAAGTGCAGCCTGAGGCAGACCTCACCACTGGGCTGCAGGGGGGCAGCTCACAGGGACTCCTGGCCTTACCAGAGCCCTACTTCCTGGCTAGTGTGTGGTAGGCAAGGGCTGCTCTGGGGGCTAGGGCACACCACTCCCTGCCCTGCTGTCTCTAATAGCCACAGCTGCTCCAGGGAGAGTGGGTGTCAGGCTGGATGGGTCATGAGCCCTGGACAGGGTCCCAGGAGGCTTCTGGCCTGGTGTGGTCCCAGGAAGGGGTGCCTTCCGCCCTCCGCCCTCCACTCTCCGGGCAGCCTCTGTTTAAGGTGTGGGGTGCTGGGGCTGGAGAGATGCTCAGGATGGAGTAACCTCCGAGTTGGGCAGGCCCAGGTTCTGACAGGAGGGTCTGTGGCAGGATTGGGGGAGAATTCGGGGCTCCTGGGTATTGGGCATGTGGACTTCAGGGAGTGGAGCCGTCACAGTTGTTGAGACTGCTGTCCCCAGAACAGATCCCTGGGGAGCTGGGAGGGTTCCTCCAACTGTGCCAGCACCTTCTCCAGGGCCAGAGTTGGTGCTGAGGGTACCTAGCGAGGTTCCCCAGGTGAAAGCAGGTTCCTCCTGGGCCAGAACTGGACGGCCTTGGCTCCTTCCCCTGGGGCACTCAGTCTGGTCCTCAGTGCCCCATTGCAGATCAGGTAGTGGAGACCCAAATAAGAGGACACTGACAGAGCCACGGGACCGGCAAGGGCTGGTGTGCCCTTCAGGGTTTTCACCCTGCTTTTCCTGCACACCGTGGGGTGGCCAAATGATTTGGGTAAGCTGCCCTCAGCATGGCAGTGTCCAGTGTACACATAGCCTCCCCACGGGTCAGGCAGGTTCAGTTCTCTGGAGGTCCTTTGCTCACCAGGCCTTAGGGAGCTCCTGGGGTGTTACAGCATGGGCCTCCCTGGTCACTCTTCTGCCCTGGCTGGATTCTCCTTGATGCACCTGGGGGACATTAGCTGGCCCAGGTGAAGTGCTGTCTATCTCCTCATCTGCTGCCTGGGAAGGGACAGGGCAGAAAGCACACACAGGGACAGAGCCAGCCCCTCAGAGCACATACCCAGGGAGGTGGTCAGGGCTGTGGTGGCTGCGTCCTGCCTTCAGAGCCTCAGCCCACCAGGGAGAGCTGGGAGCTAGGGTGTGTCATCAGGTGGTGTGGACACCGTGACTTTCTTAAGACCTGCTGGGTCCCAGTTGTACATGGTGGCAGGTGGCCTTCATGGAGCAGATCTTAGGGACCAGTGGGTGGGAGCTGAGATGGCTCCTAGCAAACAGAAGTCCTGGGGTCCTGGGGTGCTGGGGCCCTGGGGCCCTGCGGCCCTGCTCACCTCTTCTGGCTCTTGAAGGTCATGAGCCTTGGGTTTTGGATCATAAGGCCATGGGTCTAACATGTTGATGTCTGCTGACCACAGGCTCCGGGGTCTATATCACACGTGGCCAGCTCATGAACTGCCACCTCTGTGCAGGGGTGAAGCACAAGGTCTTGCTACGGAGACTCCTGGCCACCTTCTTTGACAGGTAAGTGGGAGGCACCGGGGAGAGCTTCGGAAGGTTCTAGAGTCTCCTGTGGCTGTGATCTGTCTGGTTGTCGTGGGTTTCAGCAGTGGAGGTTCTGTGCATTCCTGACTTCTCAACAGAGCCTGTTAGTGCCAGGACAGGGGAGGCTCCAGGAGGGTGACCAGTCGCCTTGGACCAGGGCTTGGTCTAGGGAGGGGCCAGTGTTTCCCAAATGACTTGTGCCCCCCCCAATGAAGTGGAAAGCACTGTACCCATGACACTATGGGCCAGGAGAGCTCCTGCCCCCGTGCCTAGGCAGCTTGCCCAGGTGACCCGGGGTCCCTGCAGACGAGGTGAGGACCAGCGCATCAGCTTCCTGGCCCAGCTGATCAGTCACTCACTGAGCCCTGAGGTCTCTGCTTTCCCTCTCCCTTAGGGGGAGGCTGGGCCTGCACTCCACGTGGACGCGACTCCTGTGACAGCACCCCAGTCCCAGGGGGCCACAGCGAGGGGTGAGGGGGCTCCCCCTCGAGTCCCCTCTGGCCCGGACGTAACCCGTCCCTTCCCCACCCTTCTGCAGGAACACTCTGGCCAACAGCTGCGGCACAGGTATCCGCTCGTCCACCAGTGACCCGAGCCGCAAGCCACTGGACAGCCGGGTCCTGAATGCTGTGAAGTGTGAGTGGACCCTGGGGTTTCTGGGAGGGTCTCTTGGGAGCTTGGAAGCTCCCTTGGGTTCAGATCCCAGCCCCAGAAGGCTGGGTGGGCAGCGGGTCCTCCACCGCACCCGGCTCTCCCTGAGCGCACCCGGGAGAGAAGGAAAAGAGCAGCACCAGAGCGGGCCCGAGGTGTGAGCGTCCTTGGGAGGTTTCCAAGCATGATGAATTCAGCTGCGGAACTATTTTAATATGTGAAATAGATCTAATTTTCCTTTTTGAACAAAACCCCTTATTTACATGTTGAGGTTATTTTGAGCCTTTGCCATCTGTTCGGCCGGCTTCTGCCTCCCGCTCCTGGGTGGCGGGGCGGAGCCCGGTCCTTCTCTGTGGCAGACACCACCCAGCTCCGTGCCCCAGATGGGGAAGGAGCCGCTGCACCAGCGCAGGCAGACTGGCCCAGGGCACAGCCTTCCACAGCCAGTGGCCCAGGAAGCATCTCACTTTCTCCAAAAAAATCCCTCTGAGGCTAATTCTGTTTAGCAGAAGGCCCTGTGTAGCAGGAGCCTTGGCAGCCAGTGGTTATAGTCCCAAAGCACAGGGTGACAGCCGGCCCCAGGAATTTGTGGGGTCGGGGTATGTCTGATGCTCCCAGCAGAGCTTGTCAGAAGGACCTGCCCTGAGCTTGCTGCTGTTTGGGGGACCTGAGCCTGGCCTTGGTGTGGGGCTCCTGGTGGAGCAAGGAGAGTCTTTCCAAACTGGTGGCGACAGCCGCTGTCCAAGGCTCCTGAGGATGGGGACAGGGAAGGCTCTCGGTGCACTGACTTCTCACTCCGCTAGTCCTGTGAGGAGGGCCCTGCAACAGGTCCCAATTTGCAGGTGGGGAGACCTGGAGAGCTTGAAGGTGTCCAATCTGGGTGGGCAGTGGGGGGCTGTCCCACCCCACCAGGCAGAGACTGTCCCCAAGGATCCCATGGGCCTCCTGGACCGACCAGGGAGAAAATAGACCACTGCTTCCATGGCTGAGATCAGGAGAGTCTCTGGGGCCACTTGGTCCCCAGCCAGCAGGGACTGAGTCAGGGGATGGTCCCTACAAGTCCCTGCCATGGGATTGGCCACTGGCCCGTGCAGGGTGTCTTATGCCCCTCCCGCCCCTGCCCCTACAGTGTACTGTCAGAACTTCGCACCTAGCTTCAAGGAGAGCGAGATGAATGTGATCGCGGCGGACATGTGCACCAACGCTCGTCGCGTCCGCAAGCGCTGGCTGCCCAAGATCAAGTCCATGCTGCCGGAGGGCGTGGAGATGTATCGCACCGTCATGGGCGCCTCGGCTGCCAGCCTGCCCCTGGACCCCGAGTTCCCGCCCGGCGCTGCACAGGTGTTCGAGCAGCGCATCTATGCTGAGCGGCGGAGCGATGCAGCCACCATCGTGGCTCTGAGAACTGATGCTGTGAATGTGGATCTGAGCGCTGCTGCCAACCCTGCCTTCGAAGCCAGCGAGGAGACCGATGGGGCTGGCTCCGTCATCCAGGAGGTGGCCGCCCCTGAGCCGCTGCCCCCTGATGGCCAGAGCCCCCCGCAGCCCTTTGAGCAGGGCAGCACCAGCTCCAGCAGGCCCCAGACGCCAGCAGCCGCAGCCACAAGAAGGCCGGAGGGCACCTATGCAGGGACTTTGTAAGGGCCCGCGTGGCCACTCACAAGGGACCGAGTACTAGAGCTGCTTGCATGCGTTACTAATACAGACAAATGTGATCAAGCCACTTACCTACTGAACTGCTACTGCTGCCTGACAAAAATGTGATTTTTATTCTGCCTGTATTTAAATGGATGAAGGAAACAAACGCATCGTTATACTGTAAACAGCTAGGCCGCTGGCCACGCTCTGGGAGAAGGGCCCAGGGCTCCTCTGATACCCGCCAGGTCAGTCTCCTATTGTAGCTTTCCCCTCCCGCTTCTTGGGGAGGGGGCCAGAGGCCCAGGCCCCCATGCCCAGCCCTGCCCCTGCCTCGCCCACCTTCCTGCTCCTCCTGCCCCAGAAGGGGAAGTTGGGCAGTAGGGGCCTGTGACAGGTGGGCACACGACACTCCGTTTCTTATCATGGGGACCCCACCAGGGCTCTGGGGCAGCACTGGGCCCCCAGGGGCCAAAATCCCTTTTTTCCTTCTTCCTAAGACACCGCCTGTATGGGTGTGTGCATGTGTGTGCGTGCGTATGTGTGTGTGTGAGTGTGTGTGTGTGCAGGGACCAGCGGTGGTGGTGCAGAGGTGGCTATTAGTCACCTGGGGTAGGGGAAGAGCCCTAATTCCCACCACTACCACCACCACCATGTCCTCCCTCTGCCCACCCTTGGCCCTGTGGCTCCTTGGTTCACCTGAAGCCCCAGGGGCTGGCCTGCTGACCCCAGGGCACCACTGGCTTCAGCCTGGCTACCTGCCATCCCATGGGGTAGGGCTGCCACCCTGTGCCCACCATGGGACACACGCGGCTGGTCTTGCCCTCGCTACCCTGACTCCCCAGCCACTCTGGGATTTTTACTTGTTTAGTGTTTCTGTTTAGTTCAGATCTGTTTCATATATTGGAAATTTTCAGACCCAAAAGAGCAAAAAATTGGGGAGGGACGGTGTCGCTAGCCCCAGCCTACTGCTCACTGGGGATGAGTCCATGCCATGTTCCCCCAGCCCGGGCCAGGGTCCTGTCACCTCCTCTTGGAGATGGGGCCCCAGGTAAGTGCAGCCAGAATGTGTGAGGCCAAACTCAGGGGTCCTGGGGGCTCTGCTGGGCAGGCACAGCCACCTGGGCAGGGCCAGGGTGGAATGGTCCCTGCTGTGCCCCTCACTCATGCCCTGGGTGACTCTGGGTGTCCAAGGCTGCTGGGTGGGCAGCAAGCTCAGACCTGAGCTAGGGCAGGTTGCAGGTGTGGATTCCAGGTGGACTGGAGGGTCAAGAGACCACAGGGGCAGGTGGGGGCGGTGGAGAGGGCCATGGAGGCTAGCTGGCCTGCTGGAGGCTAGAGTGCTCGATTTGACCTTGAAGTGCTGACCTCTATATGGTAGGGCTCACAGAGCCATTTGCCCAGGAGTCTCTTCCTCTGCCTTGTCCAGGAACTGCCTGCAGACCCAGGCCACTCCCAGTGTGGCCAGGGACCCCCATGCCGAGACTTGAAGGGTCTGTTGCTCCCTCCGTCCATCCTGAACTCAGCTGCCCCCTCCTGTATGCACTCGTGGGCAGGCTCTCCCAAGCTGCAGTGCTGGGCACTGGGTCCCTCATGGGGAGCTGGGGCTCCTCCCACCAGGCCCCTTGTTTCCATGTGGAGGAGTTGGGGAGACCTCACAGGGGGCCCCTCATACACTGGCCCAGCATGCCTCTGCCCTCCATGGAGATCCAGTGACTTTGGAAAGGGAGCAGGAGGACCAGGGTTGGGCACCACGGGATCTGGCCTTGGCCCCTCTACCTGCCCCTTGGGGCCTGAGTCCCAGGAGACCCAAAGCCTGCATTCCTGGGGTGCTGGGTGGCTGCAGGACCACTCCTACCAGCACCTAGAACCTTCAGGCCTAGAGGTGGGCTCCCTCTGCCTGTCTCCTCCCCTTGGGCTCTTGTGGGTTGGAGTCTCCAGGGTGTCCTCTGAGAACCTGGACCAAGCCTTCTTGGCACTGGGAGGAGGCCAGGGCCAGTAGAGGGATGTTGGGTGAGGTTGAGCTTCGCCCTGGTTTCTCTGAGTTTTTCCTTCATCTGCAGCCCCCACCCCCCGATTTGCACTTTAATTTGACCATCCCTGGGGACCTTTGGGAGGTGGACCCACTTGTCCTGGCTGTTGACAGAAGGGCTCTCTCTCTCTCCCTTCCACTCCAAAGTGGGCACGGTCCCCCACCCTGGGCCAGCACAGGGAGGGTGCCACTGGCCACTAGAGGAGGTGGTGGCCGCACAGAATGCCTGACCACTGCTCGGGCTAGCACAATGTCCTGTGACCTCTGTCCCTTAATTGTTTATAATCGCCGTCTGTTTTGTTCTGGGTAAGGAAGGCAAGAGCTATAGGTAAAACTTAAATAATAATAATTAAATGTGAATGGGTTCTGAGCTCTCCCTGTGCCCCAGGTGGGCCAGGCCGAGCGTTTTGCACTAATGTGTCCACAGGGGACATGGTCGGGAGCGTTTGCAGACGTGCGTGGCCGATGACTGTACCTGCCGGGGGCGCTCCCTCCGCATCCTGAATGTACCGCGGGGCAGGCGGGCGGGCGGGCAGCGGGCCTGGGCTCGGAGGGGCCTTCCAGAGTGCCTTAGCATCTTTTGATCATTTTTCCCAAGGAAAACCAATTAAGAAAACCGGACCCTCCCCCCTCCTTTGTTTACAAGATGACTAATTCCAGAATCGGGGGCTGTCTTGTCCTGCGCGCGTGACCCTGACTCATCCAGACCCTGTAGACCAGAGACGAGCCACTCAGTATTTATGAGATGTCTGCACCTTTATTCCCAAGCTTGACTACTAGCAATACGCATATACTATATAGAGTCTATTATAGAGCTAAGTTATATTGGCGCCTTTTCCAGGAGGACAGTCGGGACTGGACCGCATTGGAGCTGCTGAGGCAGGTGGCCAGCCTGGGGGTCCAGCCACCACTCTGCCCTCCCCTGCCCTTCCAGAGGGGACAACCCTGGAGGCAGCTGGGACAAGTGCAAAAGGTCCAGAGGAAGGGGCCAGAGACGGGACAGATACTGTGAGCTGGGAGGGGCGGTCCGCCTGGCCGGCACCTTGGTACTTGAATTCTGTCTTGTTTTCTGCACCAGGTCTGCTCACCGAGTTCTCTGTGGTCGCTTCAGTTTGCATCTGATTTGGTGTCTTACTTTTGCCCTGATTGTGGATGCAGCTGTGTGAGAGGCCAGCAGGGAGGGACCCTCCGGGGACCCTGCAATGCATGACTGCTGGGCAGGTAGAGGGGAACCGGCTGTGTGGTCTCATTCTCCCCCCACTGAAAACCATCCTTCCTGGCTTCCCGGTATCTGTTCAGAGCCAGAGAAGGGCTAAGGAAGGACCTAGGAGGGGCCTGTGGCCAGCTGCTGTATTGGGGCAAGCCTGGTCCTGTTCAACAGCTGGTCTTTTGGCCCAGCCTCCCCGTTGGGTCCTGCTTGGGCCCCCCAGGGGCTCTTCTTATGGAAGTGTCTTTGCCCAAGTGGGAGAAACCTGTTTGCCTCTGTCAGCAGCCAGACCTACTGGGAAGGGGACATGGAGAATCCTCTCAGCTTTAACTACTGTTTGAGAATGATGCTGCCTGTTCCTGTCAGCCAGCCAGCTCCGTGCGGCCACCGCGCGCAGGGCTTGCTACAAGATGTTTCTAAAATGGCAAAGGTGTTTTGCTTTTGTTTGTTTGTTTTGTTGTTTTAAAAAAGAAGGAAAATCATGCAGAATCTAAAGCATTCAGATTGGATGACCTGCTTGTGTTCTGATCAGTTGCCTCCGTTGTTAGGGTTTTGCACACGATTGTGATTTTTATGTCAAAAGAAGCCAAAACTTGCAATACTATTTTTAGCAGACAAAAAAAAAAGAACTAAGTATAAAATGTATAAATATTTTTGACTTGAACGTTTGGATGGCACCGGGTGCAAAGAGAACATTCATCCTTTCGACAGAATGTTTGGAGGAAAGACTTGAAGAGGAGACAGTTGTTTGAAAGGATCTGTCTGGGGGTTAAAGTAGTACTGTAACTCACGACTGTTAACTAAGGCACGGAGGTCACTCGTTGTGCTGTCCAGGGCTCCACAGAGCCAGAGTCTTGGCCGGGAGAGCCTGCTGTGTCCTTCCTGCCTTCCTCAGCCCTTCCCTGCTGTTCTCCCTAGCGACCAGACTGTTACTTTGTAGCCATGGCTGACAACATTGTATCAATAACTAAACCGACAGCAATGTGCGCAAGCGACCAGGGAACCCCGAGGGCTTCGAGCGAGCGTGCTCAGAGCCGTGTCACACGGCAGAAGTCCACGACAAAACGATGTCATCGTTAACTGTAAAGCGCTTTGTAAAATTCACATTTACAGAATAATAAAGTCAGTTCAAACCCATGTATCTTGGGCTTTGCTTGACTTGTGGGGTTTGAGGGGACTTTGAGAAGTCAGGGAGGGGGCGGGCTGTTGGGACCAGGCGCCCAACCCTCCAAGAGGGTCCTGGTTTCAGGATCCGAGGCTGCTGGAGCCCCTAGAGAGGACAGGAGAGGGCCATCCCCAGGCGAACAGGGATCCTGCTGGGGTTCAGGGCCACTTGACCTTACCAATGTCTTATAAGTGAGGGGAGCAGGAGGGGTGGGATGTCCTGGGGTGTTTCTGTGGGGCCCTGCTCAGAGCCTACCATGACAGGAGGGAGGGCCTTTGCTGGGTCCTGGTTCTGCTGTCAGCAAAGTGGGGCTCACCTGCCACCCAACCTGTGTATGGTTCCCTCCTGCCCCTCTGCTTCATCCAGGGCTGCCCCCAGGTGGACAGAGGGGCCACTGCAGTGGACAGAGCTCCTCCCAGATCTGCCTGGGAGCCCCTGGGCCTGGGCTGATGGTTCCACCGCACAAGTGGTTTCCTGGGCTGGACCAGGCCAGGCGGGGCACTCTGCTCAAATGTCCCTCGGAAGCAGATCCTGCAGCCGCTGCTTGAGTCTCACCTCAGGCCCTGGAACACGGCTTCCTGCACTTGATGACCCCTCTTCCCCAGTACCTGTGCAGAGTCTGTGTGTCCTGCAGTCCTTCAGAGGTCTTCACAGGGGCCGCTCTGCCACCTGAGAGGTGCTTCCTAGCACCTGCTTTGCTGGAGGGAGGTGAGTGGTGGGTGTGTTTGCTCAGCTACCTACTGGGGCTCAGTGAGGGCATGTAGATTTGCTCTGTGGCCAGTCCCCAGTGGCTTCCAAGCTCCCCAGTAGCAGGTACAGCTGAGGCCCAGGGAGGATTGTGAGGCAGTTCTTGGCTAGAACCAGGAGTCCTGTGGCTCTGGGATGGCTGCCCAGCCCAGCCTAGCTCCTTCCAGGTGCTGGTCTTCCCTGGGTTTGTAAGAAGGAGGGAGCTACCTGGCATGGTAGTCACACCTATAATCCCAGCAGCTCCAGAGGCTGAGGCAGAAGGATCCCAAGTTCAAAGCCAGCCTCAGCAACTTAGTGAGGCCTTAAGCAACTCAATATGACCTTGTTTCTAAATTAAATGCAAAAAGGGCTAGGGACGTGGCTCAGTGGTTAAGCACCCTTGGGTTCAATCTCTGGCACCAAGAGAAGTGGGGAGCTGGGCAGCTGCTGGGCAGTTGCTGCTAGGCTTCTGCCCCCAGCCTCCACCCTGCTCCTGGCCTGTGCCCTGGGAGCCTCTGACAGAAACTGGCTGAGCATTGGAGGCTCCGCTTCACAGCAGCAGCCCCTGGGGTTGAGCCCCAGCTGCCCTCCCAAATCCTTTGTCCTGCCTACAGGGAGAGGAGTGCCACGTCAGCGGGACACACTGGCTTTGTCCCCAGCCCTTTGTGCTCCAGCACAAATGGTCAGGAGCCCATGGGGGGAGAGGAGCCCTGTGCAAGGGTGAGCAAAGGGTGCTCGGGACTGTGCTGACCACCTCGTGCAGCTCCTCGGATTTCCAGGAAAGGCAGCTGCTTCCCTGGCAGGCGCAGCGGTGGCCGGCCTGCCAGCTGGGTGGAGCAGATGCATGCTGTGCTGGGAGGCAGAGCTTGACCGGTGGCCTAGGGCCACTCAGGTGTGTGGCTCTATCCTGTCTGCCAGGTAAGGACAGAACCCACCTGGGGATGAGCCAGCCATGTTTCCACGTGGTTTCCTTGTGATTGGAAGGTTCCCAAATGTGTCCCCCTCAGCAGCAGGCCTGGCCCCGGGAGCTCCAGGCTGTCCCGCCCTGGCACCCACACTGACCCAACTTGCGTCCAGCCTGCAGCCCCCCACCTCCCTCAGCCTGCCTCCTGCAGTGCAAGCAGCGCTCGCAAGCCCCTCTCTAGGAAGCAGCCACAGACCCCAACTGGGAAGGGAGGTTGCAAGGCAGGGCCAAGAGGCCCTGTCTCTGGGCCTCTGACCTGAGCCTGCCCTCCCTTCCTCCACCTTGGAGACCTGAGTGACAGAGGCCCTGCCGCGTATGCAGCTTTCTCCGCAGACTGGGATCCCTGTGCCTTGATGGTGCCATTTTTCATCAGTAGAGCAGGCCCTCCCCTGGAGGCCCCTGTGACTCCCACCTGCGGGGCTGAGGGGCTGGACCTCCCTGGAGTTCAAGTCTGACTTGGTGCCTCTGAGCCGGTGAGAGGGACACGCGTCTCTCCACATGATTCCTGGCCCAGGGTGGCTCAGGGACTGGGACCCCAGCCTGGGATTGGTGTGTCCCTCTGGCAACAGCCAACACTTCAGGGGCTTCACATCCATTCCTCTTACTGGCCAAACCAGAGTGTGAAAGGCCACACCCCACCCTCACTACATGGGACTTCCCCCGTCCTCCCGCAAGACAGGAAGAACAAATGTCCTTGGGGAAACAGGGCACACAGAAGAGGCTCTTGGAGAATGGGGGCAGTGGTGGTGACATGAGCCAGTGCATCAGTCAGTCCCACCTCGGACACCCAGAAGACAGGTACCCGGAAGGCACCTGTCCCAGGCACCTGGAGCAGAAGCAGGCAGCCAGCCCCGCCCAGCCTGCTCCCTGAGCAGCCCCTGTACGAGGTGGCCAGGTGCCGGCAGGGAGGGTCCTTGCCAGGGCTCTTCAGCAAACTGGCTCTGACCAGGCAGGTGGAGTTTTGCAGGATCAGGATCCCTTGAAAGCAGCTCAGGTGTGGCCCAGAAGAGCCAGAATGACAACGGCCAAGGGTGGCCCAGCCCCTGTGACCAGGGATGGCGGGTAAGCAGTGTGTGGCCCAGCCACCATGGGATTGGCCTGGAGCATCTGCTGCAGGGTGGCTGGGCCTGGAGGACATCATCACAGAGGACAGGTACTGAGAGATCCACCAGGCCACAGAGACAGGAAGTGGAAAGGAGGGTGCCGGGGCTGGGGAGGGGCTGGCAGTCAGTTTATGGGGACAGAGTTTCAGTTGGGGGGATGAGAGCACCTAATGCTGCTGAACTTGAAGAGGGTTAAAATTGAACACGTTATGTCCTGAATATTTGAGCAAAAACACGCAGCCACGAGTTGCTGAAAGACGGGGTGCGTTCTGAGAATGCGTCGCTGGCTGGTTCTGCCTGGTGGGAGCTCCAGAGTGCACTCAGCCCAGGTGACCTGCCTGTCACCAGGGGTGCCATCTCATGGGGCCACGGGGCACAGGCATGTGGGCTAAGATGTGACTGCAGCATGACCACGTGGACACACCTGTAAAGACAGGGAGAGGGTGGACACCAACGCAGACCTGCTGCTGGAGTGGGCCAGGCCTTAGCCCCCAGGTGCCGTGGGCCAGCGTCCAGCCTCCAGCCTTGAGGTCTGTCCTGGGAGTGAGCCAAGCTCCTCTGACCTCGGAGAGGGGCTCCCCCAGCGTGTTCTGCGCTTCCCAGCAGTCCTCTGGCTTCACCCAGGGTCTGCACAGACAAAGAAGGACTCAACAGCCCAGGCCGCCCCACACCAGGGCGGGGAGTGTCCATCCAAGTTGGCCTGGTCCATCGGCCCGGAACGCCGGTTAGGAAGCAGAAGGAGCTCCCTGCTGGGGAGCAAGGGGCAGATGACCAGCGCAGTGGGCTCCTTGCTGAGCTCAGGAGAGCAAGGAGGCCCGAGCCCCTGCCCGGAGGCCTGTGTGTTGTGGGCACCCCCAAGCAGCCTGGGCGTGGAGCACACTGACCTTATGCCCCTGGATGGTGAGCCCCACATCCCTCCCAGCGCAGGCCCATGTTCTGTCTCCTGCTCTCCTGCCTGGCTGACACCCTTGGCATCCTGCCCCTCCCCCATGGAGCTTCACAGGTGCCCCTCCCTCAGGCTTTGCTCACCAAGAAGTCCAGTGCAGTGGGGGCATGCCCCAACACCGGAGCGTGCATCTCCATGCCCCAGTCTCCCCAAGTTCAGAAAGTCATGGACAGTACCCCTCATCTGCACCCCTACTGTGGACAGTACCCCTCATCTGCACCCCTTCTGTGGACAGTACCCCTCATCTGCACCCCTACTGTGGACAGTTCCCCTCATCTGCACCCCTACTGTGAACAGTACCTCTCATCTGCACCCCTACTGTGGACAGTACCCCTCATCTGCACCCTTACTGTGGACAGTACCCCTCATCTGCACCCCTACTGTGGACAGTACCCCTCATCTGCACCCCTACTGTGGACAGGCTCCTGCCCATTTTGTTAAAATGCAGATCTGGTTCTAGATGTGGCAAAGGACTTGTCACTGAAGTGGGTCCCAGAGGATACAGAGCTGGCCTGGGGGGTCACACTTTGCATACCACTGTAAGGGCTGTCCCTCTGTCCCAGAGAGGATGACCCACGTCCCCTGGTGGCTGGGCCTGTCTTTTTCCTTGCAGAGTGTAGGCTGTGGATAGCATCATCCACAAAGTGCATGTTCGCAGGTTGCTGGGCACCGGTGCCAGCCCCTCTGTGAGCTGTCTGTTTCTGGCCACCTGCCATCACGTCCACACTGTTGGCTCCTGAGCCCTGGCTTCCACTCGTATGACCACCATCTCTGCTTAGTTCTTTCTGCTGGGCTCCTAGGAGCTCCTGGGGGAAGGCTCTCCCTGCCCCCTGGAGTGGTGTCCACGGCCACCAGGCAGCCCAGGCTGTGCCTGTGGGGCAGAGGCCCAATGGCAGTGTCCCTGACCAGAGCCAGTGTCCTTGCTCGCTCTGACGGGGGCGCACAGGCTCCTGGAGCTGGAGGGACGCCCCAAGGACCACCCCTGTCCAGTCCCACAGAGCTCTGCCCGGTTCCCAAGGACTTCCCACTCTCCTGCTGCGCCCAGCTCGGGCCCCAGGGGTGCCGCAGGCAGGGTCCAAGGTTGGGGTGAGTGCAGGGGTGCCTGGCGGGGCCCCCCCTTCCCACCTAGAGGGTGGTGAGAGGCAAGCCCCTGTCAGCTTCAGCCCTGGTGGGCCCAGGCCAGGGAGCTAGACCTGGGGGCAGAAGCAAAGAATAATGCAGGACCTCCTGGGGAG